TTTTAAAATTCTGCCTTAACGGCTAATTGGAGGCACAACAGTGACCCTTCAAAAAACCGTTGCTTGATTCAACGGTGCTGTCTTAAATATGTCGTATTTGCTGACTGTGAACTAAAACAAAATTCTTACCTAAAACTGTCTTACAGATGAAGGAGTTAGCAAATCCTGTAAATCCCACGATCTCTTGTGCTATCCGAAAATTGTCGATTGATTTAGAAGAGAAAGCATGGAAGGTAGAAGAAATGCAATGCAAGCGACCAGCCTACAACAACTCAAAAGCTTCTATGCAGACAGTGGTATGCAAGAGACTTCAATTGGCAAACCTTAGATGAATTAGAATGAATGTCATTTGCTCTGCGTAAAAAATCGCTGACAGCGCGGCACCACGTACTTGCTTCTTCACCCATCGTTGTGCCCATTGAGGGCTTACGTTTCCTAGCAGCAACTCAAAATCCACCATTTTCACCAGCACTGTTTCTGTTCAAGTTTAAAATGAAGAGGTATGAACTCTTTAGACAAAAAATAAGTGATTGCTTGCTTTTCACAAGAAAAGAAAACTGCCCATATTCATTCTCCTATAGCATTATTCGCGAATGGATTATTTTGAGGACGAATGGTTTGAATTCACTGCCGAACCTATTCTTCCCTGGTGGGAGGTAGCGCTACCAAGTAAGAAGTGTTGGTATTTATTGAGTTCCAGAATTTGAAATATAAATAAAGTTAACATGTTGCTATCGGTTCTCATATTGAGTGCACTTCTGTGCACCCTGACAAGAGAAAATGAGCAGATTGAAGAAGAGGAAGACATTCAAGTAAACCTGTTCCTATAACAAGGTGTTATAAAAACAATCATGAAGGTATTTGCACGTTAAGGGATACGAGGGTATCAGAAAAGTAAAATGGCATTTGGATGAAGAGATACTTGTCGAGGCAAAAAAAATTTTCAAGACTGAAAATTTGAGTTCTCCCACACAGGGAAAGGTGAGTAATTGAAAGAGAGGAAGTTCAGGGGGAAGGGAGGAGCGGAGCAGTGCCTACGAGAATTGCTTTTGGTATTCCTAGAAAGCAGTTTAGAGCCAATAGCAAATTCCACAAGACCTATTTGCTCCGTCATTATTGTGATTTCTCAATTGTAGAAATTAAGGATCTAGATATATATGTGGAACGAGGACAGAGATAGCCTTCAAAAAGGTTTTCAGTGTGAATATTGCATGAATAAAGTTCCTTCTGAATCAGTTCGGCGCTTCTATGTTTACAAAAACCTCTGAGAATGGTGAAGAAAGCTCCTACATCTTCTTCTCTTGTA